AAATTCCCTTAAATACTCACTCAGTACTTTTCAGTTAAATGTAAGAATACTTATTTTCGTTTCTAAGAAGACTATCTTCAGCATTAGATACTATTGTTTATGAACTTCCCAGCTAATGGTCCTCTACTAAGAAGCATCAGCACATATTTTTGTAATAATTTTTTATAATGCGTAAATTTATCCAAGTCTATTGCATGTGTTCGTCTAAGACAGACTAATTTTTTCTAACCTTACCTTCATATACTGAATATTTCTGCTAAAGTCTGCAGTTGGACCGCCTAGGGCGTCCCGAGGACGCTGTTCGTGTAGTCCGCGAAACTGGAAGTGTGGAAGCGGCCAAAATTGTAGCGCATTATTTCACTCGGATTGGAGATCACGCTTCTGCCATTCAATTCTTGGTGTTGTCACGCTGTCCTGAGGCAGCCTTTAGGCTGGCCCAGAAACACCGCAAAATGGAGTTGTACGCCGAAGCGCTTGGTAAATTGACCTATTTTTCTAAACAAATTTAGCTTAGGCAGAACTCAGGATCTAACTATGTGTGTAGCTACATTTATTCTTTATATAAATTTATAATCCATACAAGACTAAATATCTATAGCTATCCCCTCTTTTTATCCATATGCGTTTCATATGATGATTAAGTTAAGACTAGTATTATAATCAGTGTCCACTACGCCAAAGGTTCAAGTTGAGTATCTAAAGTTTAATTTCCTATTAAGTGCTGCTATTTCTTATTTCCAAGAGCCTTGTTCCGTATCTTTATGGCCTCCTTTTGAACATAAATTTTGCAAAATTTAGCTGTCACACAAGGAATTAGGCATGTCATATTACAACTTAGGAGAAAGGCTTCTAGTTTCCACGTTTCTTAGAAAATTTTTTGCTAGATATTAATTTTATTTCGGATAAAATAATCTAAAATCTAGGAATTTCGGCAACATACTATTTATATTCTTTGGGTTTAAATTAATATATGCATATATATGCATACGCACATCAAAAGCAAATTTAACTTGAGGGTGATGGGCGGTGGGAGAGAAAATGTAATAAGCTGCATTCACCTATAAATAATTATTTTTCAATTTAAATAACTATTTAAGTTGTTTGACCTTGTTTTCGCAACTTGGTCATATTGGTAAGAAGACTTAGAGAAACGCACCTAGTCCGGAGTCCATTGTATGCATGATCATTTTCAGAGTAGGACCGTGGACGTGGTACATTCCCAGACGTTTTGCCGGCATCGTCAGTGAGTCTCGCCATTTTTAGCACTACACAACAAATCGTCAAAGACGCAAATTAAGCAGATCCTTTGACGAGACGTGTGTTAAACAGTTCTGGTATCTTCCATTCTGGTCAAAGGATCAACTTCATTTGTCGCTTTGACCAGTTGTTGTGTGGTGCTAAGAATGGCGAGACTTACTGACGATGCCGACGAAACGTCTTGGAATGTACCACGTCCACGGTCCGACTTGGGAATGATCATGCATACTAGGTGCGTTCCTCTAAGTCTTCCCACCAATATGACCAAGTTGCGAAAACAAAGTCAAACAACTTCTATACAATGAAAGGAGACTGTGACAACACAAAAAGGCCACACCATCTTGGTCTTCATACCTTTGATTAAATGACTATTATTTATCTAATAACTTTGTTCCAGGCTCGTATGCAACTCCAGGAGAATACCTCAGTATTGCACATCACTTTGAAAGCGAGAAGAATCACCTTTTGGCAGGAAAATATTACCTTCTGGCGAGGCTATATGAAAAGGCAAGTTTCTTTAAACCTTGAATTCATCATTCATAATTGCATTTTCAGATAAAGCTTGCAGTGTTAGAGGATCCATTTTATTTGATATATATAAGTAATTTAGAATTTGCTTAAAGCTTAATATATGTTAGGTATCTACTTACATTACCTTACACGAGGCTAGATAAGTAAACTCTGACATTTGGGGATTGTTGGGTAGATTAACTTCTGCCAAATGAAACTAACTAAAAGAATTCATTATGCTTGTTTCTTACTCAGTTCAGTATAAGAAGGTTAAGCATAAATGGGGCTTCATCACTAACT